AGAAGAACACATCAAACAGGCTTTTGTGGAAAGAAACACCAAAAGTATTTTTCATTTTTTCCTCGGATGCCGATACCATTGTCTGTTTCTGCCGGCCAGATATGTTAAAGCAGAAAGACACAGAGATTATCTCTCTGTTGGAGGAGAAGGTGCTGCTCTTCAGGGAGATGTGGGAGGGCTTTAGCCCCAGCGAAGAGGCCTGCAGGCAGGTCGAGCCTTTTTTCAGGTCAGCCTGCAGCCAGGAGCCGCCTCAGGGGGCGTCTATCATGAAAGATGCTCTGCAGGAAGGTAAGACGGAGGAATTGAAGCTTGTGGTGTTTGTGGTGTAAATGCATTTCTCTTTTAGTGTCCTTGGATGTGAAGCAACACTGACATGAATTCTGTGAGAGGCAGACAGGAAATGTTTCCTATAAGATCATAGCATCAACTTCTGTTGTTAAGGAACATCAGGACTAAAATTAGGTTCAAGTTAGGTTATCCATGATGTTCCAGTAATGTCACACGTTAAACCAGACATGTTTCTGCTGCATAGGGGCAAATACTGTTCCTGGAACATATACTGATATCTGTTTTAGCCCAGAAAACAGCTTTGTCTGCAAGGTTACCACCTTTGCACTGCAAAAAAATGGAAATCTAAATGAGTCATTTCCGCTTAAATATAGTGCATTTTTTCTTATATTGACGAGGTAAGTGAGATACCTTGCAAATGGAACAAGTCAATTTACATTTAAAACAAGGAAAAAAAACAATTGCTTTGTCTTATTTAAAGTGCATATTATCTAATTATCTTATTTTAGGATTAAAAATACAATTTTTATTGGCAAATCATCTTATTTATCTGCTAAAATTAAGGGTAAGTACACTTAATTTAAGACATTTTCTACTTGTGAACACCAGGTCCTTAATGACAATTTACCCCCAACTCATGTTTAGGCTCCAATTTCTAGAAAGACCTGTGTACACTGCAAAAAAACGATCAAGAAAAAAGTAAAACATTCTTAAATCAAGTGTATTTACCCTTAATTTGAGCAGGTAAATATGATCTGCCAATGGAATGAGTGTTTTTTTTCTCTTAATATAAGATGATTAGATAATATGCACTTGAAATAAGACCATGCAATTGTTTTTTTTTCTCATTTTTTAAACGTTAACTTGTCTCACCTATCTCAATTGAAGAAAAAAATATTCTTTTTAGATTTAGATTTTTTTGCAGTGCAGAGTCTGGACAATGATCATGATAAAAACACAAAACCTGGTGTGTGTATATTTGTTTGCAATCCTGCTGAGCCAGTACCTCTAGAACCGGCTTCCTCTACCAGCTTCACACATTCAGAGAGGAACAAAATGTAGACTGTTTTAGACGTTTAAAGGCACACTATGCAACATTTTTCAGTTAATTAATGTGTTCCATAACGTTATGGATGACTAAATGAGTCATTTCAGGTTGAACAAAGGTATTCTCGGCCGCCCTGGTGGTCTGTGGGGGAAATACTGCACTTGCAACTGCAGGAGCACCGACCCGCACCCACAGGCTCAGAAGTCTCGTGAGAGTCAGTCTTGCTTTACGGCGAGAACTGCTACACGCCCCCAGTTAAAAGCATTCTCGTTGCTAGCACAGTGGCGATCTTTGTGCAGTTATGCTACGTTCACGCAGCAAAAGCAGCAAAATCGTGTCTGCTGCTTCATTTTTGCTGCTTGTACCAGTTAGTTCTGACGCGCGGCTGAAGCAGTTTTGCTGCTCTGGCTGCGCGGTGCAAAAGTGTGTCTGACGCGCGTTGGGCGGAGCTTCACTATCCTTTCTCTGCCTTGCAGCTATATTTGCTGTGATCAGTGGGAATAAAGTAGTTTTAATATGTGTTTAAGTGAGAAAATACACCTGAAAACGTAATCAGTGCCGTCAGTTCATTCAGATTATTATCCTGCCTTCAATATTTTTTCTGTCGGAGCCGCTCAGACCCCCACATACCAGCGGGGCGCCGACAGTATGGATCCCTTCATCAGCAGCGGTTCACCGCGGCAGCTGGTAGGTGTTTTTCATCTAAATAATCCAAACTGCATATTCTGCCGGCAGATTTCTGCATTTTAAGTTAATTTAGGCATCAATAAACTGTTTAAGAGGAGTGATCATCAGCACTGTGTCTCTCTCCCTGCGTTAAACGCACCCGACGCGCTGCTTCAGCTGCTCAGACGTGCTGCGCCTGCAGCTCAAAACGCGCCGCGGGACCTTTTACTGCGCCTTGACGCGCGTCAACCATTGACTTTGCATGTAAACTCGCTGCTTCTGTCGCGCCAGCTACGTCCAGTGTGAACGCAGCATTAGTCATTCGCTGCTAAGCTCAAAACAACCGCGCCTGGCTTGACGGAGAAACCAGGAGAACAGCTGTGCATATTTACGACAGTGCACTTTTACTTTCGCCCTCTGGAGGGAGCCTCACTGGAAAATCAACACCGGTTGCATAGTGTACCTTTAAGCAGAGGAGCTGGAAGATTGGATGGAGGTTTTCTGTAAACATGGATTTCCTTGATTATCGCAGAGAATCTCAGCTGGGTTTGTTTAGGTTGCTATGGCGATGTTGTTTCCACCAAACATAGAAATTAGCTTGAAGAGTAGAAATTTAGGTTTTAGTTTCATGCCACAAAAATCCAAACAGGACTTCTTTTGGCTTTTTTGAAGAATATGTCTCTTGTTTCCTCTCTTTCATGGAGACTAGGTTTGTGTAGCAGGCAGCCATGTTTGGTCTGATTCTTTCTATTTTGAGACGAAGGACTAACCAGAGCACTGTCATAAAATCACAACTTGGTTTCTTGTTTAATAACCCCAGGTTGGCGTTGGTGACATTTAAAGGAGTTTCATGGATGTGAATACTTTTGTATGACTCTGCAAAGGACTCTCGTCAGATATTATCTATCCCTGCTTCTGAGTTAGTTTTCTAATCAGAGCTGAAGCGTGAGCTTCTTTTTTTAAAATGTGTGCTGAAAACATAAAAGGAATCAGGATGAGTTTGGAGACTGCACTTAGGCCATGTTTTGGGCTTTTCTCTCGTTTCATCAAATGTTTATGAGAAGAAAGCAGAAGCTGAGAGCAAAACTCGCTGCACAGGATCTGTATCTTGAGACAAAGAGATGGGAATACGGAGAGAAAGACAGAGCTGCACGGCACATTCTCTGCCCATTAAGAGCTCTTTTAGCTGCATGTTTTCCTGAAGGTCAGCTGGGTTGTGCTTGTTTTAGGAAAAGTTAGTAAGGTTTACTTTTTCAGGAGAAAAAAAGAAAAGGTTTTGCATCCAGTTGGTTTTATTCGGATCAACATATGAGGTTTTTATTAGTTTATTCAGAAATGTAAAGGTTATATTTGTGACTTTTGTTTTACAGCAAGATCACTTCCCAGTAGGTGTCTCATGTTTTGGATATTCCTGTTTCAGACCTTGCCTGAAGCCGAGTTAGTGGCCTTACAGTCAGAGCTGGTGGTTAGATAAGGAACACTCACACTGCTCCAAAACTGGAAGCATCCCTGCAGGCAGAGAAAACTCTAAACAAACATGAAAAGTATTTTTCAGCTTGCATCTCTACTTTCTATTCACTATTTGCAGTTTTTTTTTACTTCTGCAGCCTTCCCAATACAGACGGCTGATTTCTGATTTACTTTTATACCTCCTGGGTTCACCTCAGGTCTCCTGCACAGGCTGCATTTTTTTCTTCAAAGAGTTAATATTGCTTTCAATTGCAAATATATTGAAACTTTTAGTGAACAAGCTCTGTGGATCCAAGAGGTGGGTGGCGGTTGCTCGGCAACAGGAGCCAGGAGTGTCTGGCTGAATTCTTGGTTGCAGAACTGAGCTATAACACAGTTAGCTGGGATAATACACTTACTGACCTTCGCATTAATGCTTGCCTTGGTGTGTGTTTTTGTTTGTGTGTTTTGATCACAGTGGAGACGTTGCAGGCGCTGGTGAATGGCAGCCTGGGCGGAGCGATGACCAGCGTACACGAGGGGGGAGGCGCTGGGCCGGTGTGTCTGCCCCGCCGCGCCGAGACCTTTGGAGGCTTCGACAGTCACCAGATGCACGGCAGCAAGAGTAAGGCCACACTGTAACTCTGCATGATTGTTTACGTCATATTGTTGAATCAGATTCTGGAAGCAGGAAATCTGCTGAACCCCAACCTGTGTGTCAAGGTTCTGATGTTGCTGTTAAAGTCTATTATTAATGTTTCACTGGAGCTCAAACAGCAGCAGGAACCACACCCAACACTTCCCACAATCCACCTGTTCAATGTCATGAATGAGATATTTTAGAAGCCGCTCAGGCAAGGGCGTAGGAATATGTTTACAATTGGGGGGGACACATGTCGGAAATCTGAAATTCGTAAATATTCAACAGAAACATATCTTAAGTACGCTACTTAAAAAAAAGGCTATTTAATCTTTTTCTTTATTCCTTTATAAATGTGTTTGCAAAAATAATGCATTTAAAATTAACATAATGCATTTGTTCATAAGATGTGAGCATATCACCAAACAAAATGACTGGAGTCTTTTATTAAGCAAAGGGAGATGTCTTTCAAGGGCTTCAGCCCTTGGCATATTTAGTGTCCGCATACGCACTAGAAAATCCAAACAATTCAGTAGGCCACACAAGTGCAAAGTTTGATATGTTTTATTTTGTCAAACTTGCAATAATGGTCAAAAATGAATTTATATAGGTTGACTGACAGAGGGAGCTGACAGTGTGTTGAAGAATTATGGACAGGGCGCTTTGAAGCATCTGGTTCAAAAACGCATTATCAACCTTTGGTAGAAATCCATCTATCCTTCCATTTTCTGTACACCCTGTCCCTTAGTGGGGTCGGGAGGTGCTGGTGCGGGGTCCACCCTAGACAGGTCGCCAGTCTGTCCAGACCTTTGGTAGAAATGGCGCCTTTAATTCCAATTTGCAGTACAGAACAGAGAAAACTACAGAGTTGTCAATGTTGTGTTAATCTGTTTATAGTGTAAAAAGAGGAGCCAGCAGTTTATTTGAGGAAATAAAGATGCAGAAGTTAATTAGTTGGTTAATTAGTGGTTGTGCAGCAGTCCGCTGCACGACCAATGCGGCCGCCGCTGCTAAGAATTAGAATTAATTCTCCCTGTGGTTTTAACTAACGATCAGGAGCGCGGCAGGTATAACATCTGTCAATTTCCGCGAATCAAAACCATGCAAAAAATAAAAAATCCTCGTAAAACGCACGCCCAGACCGGGCTAATTTCAACACAAGTTGTGTTAGGTGACTGTTACTCACACTGACGTTTCTCTTTAAAAAATATCTGAGTAAGTCCTACTGCTGTTTCAGCCTTTTAGTTGGTGGTGGCATTGTACTGAAATGAGATATATAAAAAAAAAAAAACATTTTGGCTAGCGTGGCAAACGTCTAGAGAAAGTTAGCAGTTAAATATTGGATGAGTGATCAGACCAAGACTACGGAAGAGGATTAGGGCCACTGGAGAAAAAAAAATTAAGTGATTTTTACATTTTATTTCAGTTTAATACGGGAAAAAAGTCAGAATTCTGACTTTTATTTTCAGAATTAAGACTTTTTTTCTCAGAATTCTGACTTTAATCTCAGAATTCTGACTTTTTTTTCTCAGAATTCTGACTTTTTTTCTCAGAATTTTGGATCTTAATGTAGATGGGCACCATGAAGGCAGAGATGTGGAGCACTCAGCTTCACTGACAAAGATGTGATTTGTTTGAGGTGGCCAGTGACACATTGGTGGAAAATGACAGAATTAGGCAACTTTTTACGTGCCTGAGGGGTCCCCTCATTAATGGAGGAGCAGAAGGTCATTAAAACAAGAGAGCTAGTCTCTAAAGAGACATGGCTATGGCTTGATGCTAACATGTTTGTTGTTAAACATACTTTTGTTATATTACATTTGTGTTGTGTTTTCCAAATAGTGTAGAAAATTAATGGTGGGTTTATAATGTTTACCTTTTATGAGCAGGACAGGAAGCAGAGAAGTGTAGCATTACCTCCAACTAGTTAAACTCATAATTATGAAGTTATTCAACAAATTCCTCAAGTAAAAAAGTGCAACTTTTTTATTTTTATTTTTTAACAGATTTGTTGATTAATTTCAAAATTATGTATTCCTTCCAAATTTCCAAATCTGAAGAATTTAAATAAACTGGTATTGGTTTAAATAAATTTAAACCAATATCTACATTATTTAACATTTAGTTTATGTTTTAGCAGTACTTCCTGTTATATTTCTTTATACGTATATTTTACATTTTCTTGCACAGCAAGCTCAGCAGATTTGAAATTGTGTGTTTACTCTAAACATATATTCTGTTTATTTTTTAGTTAGACCTTCTTGTTTTTATATATCTGTATAGTAGACCCCCCCCACACAAAAAACAAACAAACTGTAAATTGATTAGAAATATTAATCATCTGTCAGATTTCTGAGAAAAAAGTCAGAATTCTGAGATTAAAGTCAGAAATCTGAGAAAAAAGTCAGAAAAAAAAGTCAGAATTCTGAGATTAAAGTCAGAATTCTGAGAAAAGTCAGAATTCTGACTTTTCCCCCCATGTTAAACTAAACAAAAAATTAAAAATCAGTTAACTTTTTTCAGTGGCCCTAATCCTCTTCCTACAAGACTAAGATGCCTAAACCAAAAAGATTCAGTTTCTATATATGAAAGTGAACTGACAACAAGACGTTATAAATAGGCAATATTCATAGCAGACCATTTTACCTCATTAACAAGTTTCTGACTTTCTGTATCGCTGTTTCCCTCTGAGTGCTCAAACACTAACAGTTCACAGAGGGGAGGGGGAGTACAGTGACGTAACGCTATGCTGCGCCTTCAAAATAAAAGCACGATAGTTAAAAAATTGTCAAAATCTAATATTTTGCGGTACAATTTTTGGGGGGGACATATCCACCTGGCTTTTATATTGGGGGGGACATGTCCCCCCGTCCCCCCCGCTTCCTACGCCGCTGCGCTCAGGAGAGTAGAGCAGAGACTCCCTGGGGGGCGTTGCCCCAAGGGATCCCTCTCAGCTGGTGGCTTAAAAACGGATGCCGACAAACTCAGTGATCGGGGAAGCAAAATACAGCAAGGATAGTTATGCACTGGAAAAATGGTCTAGAAATAAGTAAAAATTGCTTAAACTAAGTGTATTTATCCTTAATTTGAGTAGGTAAATGAGATAGTTTGCCAATTGAATGAGGATTTTTACTCTTAAAATAAGATAATTAGATAACATGCACTTGAAATAAGACAATGCAATTGTGTTTTCTTATTTGAAGTGTAAATTGTCTTGTTCCATTGGCAAAATGTTTTTTTCCTCAATCCAAGAACAAATGCACTTATTTTAAGAAAAAAAGACTTATCTAGATTTTTTCTAGTGTGTTAACTGTAATGTGATATAATTCGGGTATTTGAGAAACCAGAGTGAGAGAACAATGCAGCAAATAATAAAACTGGTTCACCGTGTCAAAACTCAAAGATGGTTGTAAATTTCTTTGCCACTTCAGTGGATGGTGGAGTCATAGCAGCTGACAAAATATAGACGGCACAAAACAAGTGGAATAATACTTGCACTACATTTAAAAATACAGCTGTGGAATGTTTATGCTCCCTTATTGCTAAGTGACTGAAAGCTCTGTTGGTGTAGCTTTCTATTAAAAAAAAAGGATAATTAAATTCTGTCTAAAGTTTTAAGCAGTGAAAATGCGCCAGAGTTCATGGAAAACAAAGTGACCTGACTTCATTAATTTGATGTTATATTTATGTGAGCTAACTGATGGAAATTGCTGAGCTTCATCTATTGTTTCTATCGCAAATTCAATGCTGCTGATAGGGAATGAAATAAAAAGCCTTTAATTTCTGCCTTGTGTTTGTATTCAGCCCTCTGGGTAAATATGTTGATGATCCAGATTACACCTGCATTTATTACACCTCCAAATCCTTTCAGGTTTATCTTCCTACCAGTTTTGCAAATGGAGAGATGGAAATGTTGTCCATTTTCTTTTTGAGTCAGATTTCTCGAAGAACAACCATGAAGAGAAATTTTGAAGATGTGCCACAAATTCAAATTGCGTTACATCTGGAATTTGGACCATTGCATTTCATTATAATGCTTTCATCTCAACCATTCTATCGTTCAGTTCAACTCACTCTATTTTGACTCTTCAGCCGTCCTTCACACCGAGCATGTATGTAGTGAGAGTAGAGAGGAAAAACTCCCTTTTAACAGGGAAAAACCTCCATCAGAACTAGGCTAATTGTTAGCGGCCGTCTACCGAGGCGAAAGAAGCAGACTTACAAAAATGAGAGATCCAAAAGTTAAAGGGCTGGTTATACTCCCCGCAGCAGTGTGTATTTTTCATTTATGCCCAATATTAAAGCGTGGTCTGCGCTATGTTATTCCACACCACAATGCAGGAGGGACACAAGCTAGCTCTGGCGGTGAGGAAGTGTGGGCAAGTTTCTGTGACAACAGAGGATGGAAGAGAGCATATACAGTTGGTCACAGTAAAGAAATAGGACTACGCAGAAAGAAATGGTGCCAAATTCAACATCTATAAATAGGGATGTTGATGGCAGCAGCACAGCTGATATTTCTGTCCAGGATAAGTCACAGCTGAACAGTAACAGACCAGATGAAGTTACCATGACAAGAAAAGGCAGAGAGAGAGCATACAGTTATTGGTGGAGCTTAAGCAGAATGATGCAGAATGATGAAAAGTGGTCCCCATGTCCTCCAGCAGCCTAAGCCTAAAGCAGCAAAGATATGGAGGAATTAGCTCAGGATAACCTAACTATTTTGTATGAGTTATGAGAAAGGTAGAGCTGTCATTGCTCTAGCCCTATGTCTTATGACATGTCCTATGACACTGACTTCTTCTTAGTTGGCGGCGCGCATAGACGCAGCGACCCTCTCTCTCTCCCGTGTTTTTTTATTTTGTTTTGTTTGTTATTTGTTAAAAAAAAAAATGTGCATTTCAAAGTGTCTTTCGCGTCAGTGTGTGTCGGAACACATGAACAGCCGACAGGATTTATTGGACATAAGGAACAGAAAGATCTGG